AGGTTCAGTGTCTTAGCCAGGGACACTTCGGCATGTGACTGCTGGTGGAATCAAACCCCCAACTCTGGCAATGGAGGACAACTGCTCCAACCACTCAGCCACAGTTGCCTCAAATAAGCTTTCTTCATTTCAAAGTTTTGTACCGATACGTGCCATCATTTATAGAACTTGTGGATGTTGAGTTTGTTCCTACAGCTATAGATATACTGCAGTAACGTGCAAACATCTTGCTCTACCACTCTTTTCTTTAAGTAACACTTTGAAGAAGGCATGTTTTTAATTAAAAATAAATAAATAAAAATAATACTACTGAATGCTTTTTTATGTTTTTTTTGTTAGTCACTGGTCAAAGAAAATTAAAAGAAAAAGCCTGAAGAACTACTGCTTTACTACTACTTTTAAAATTACATTAAAGTCTGTCTTCTTGAACTAATTATAAAGAAATGACCAATGACTCAAGACTTTTGTACAGTTAGTTTAACAATATGTTGGTGTAGATTATCAGTTATCATGATCATGTCAAATCCTTAAGGGATTTTTTTGTTGTTGTTTTTTTAAAAATTAATTTAATCCATTTATTTTAATTAATTAATTTATTTATTCTACTTTCCTTTATGCTAAATTCTATAGTTAGGGTTGGCCTGGGTTTCCTGAGCTATCCCAGTTATGCTGCTATAGGCTTAGGTCGTTTTCACACCAGATAGTCCGGTAGACTCGGTTCAGTTCGGGACCAATATTCATGACCTTTTGTTTACATTTGAGCTGGTGCGTTTGCATTCACACTGCACTGTGCAGTCGAGTCAACCTGTTGAACCAACCTATTCCCCCTCTCGCCTGTGGGGGCGCTGCACCAAGAACTACTGAAAGAAACGACACAAAAACCTCTGAAGACACGTCTTCTTCTTCTGTAAATAAAAACAAAAACCAAGTGGCATCAAGTTTTAGCAGTTTTAGGAGTTATATTTTGTCATTTTTCAAAAATGGACTTAGCATGAGCAGAAGATGAGACAGAAGACCATGGAGAATATTGTTTTTCCACACAAGGCAGCTGATGGCTCCATATAAGGTCAGAGAAATGCGTGTTTGTTTACCCTGAGGAGCGGGGCTCGGTCTGTTTACATTCACACTGTACTCGAACCGCGCTGGAGTTCGCTTCTACCGGACCGAGACCTAGGTTTTAGCCCGGGCCAGAGTTCACCTTTTTGTTCCGTGACAGAGTTCAATGGTGCGTTCACACCTCCCCAAACGAACTGGACTTTCTAGGAAAACGAGCTAGAGTTCGATTAAAGCGGACTAAACAGGGCTAGTGTGAATGCACCCTTAGACTGTTGGAGGACAAACTGACCACATTTCTTAACTATGCTACTGTACTCTGCTCAACCTGTTTTGTATTTGTAATTATTTTTTCTATCTTTAACATGTGTTTTTGTCTTTCAGACAGTGGTTAATTTGAGCCAGATCCTGTAGGAACAAGATCCCGAAACTCTTGTTTTGACCGCTTGGATCCGGCAACTTAAATCTCCACCCCTAAAAGTCCAAAGTCATCATGCATTTTTATTTTGATTATTTATAAAAAAAATACATGAGAGGAGACGTTGCCCAGTATGTGGAGTGGATGTTCTGGCTGCATCATGCTCCTGCCCAGCAGAGACAGGGACTGCATGTCGCGCGGGGAGCATCTTCATCCACTTTCAGCTGTGCGCCCAGCCCCTGCAGACAGTTGTGTTACGCACAGCGTCTCCAGACAGCTCTGCAGGACGCACGCACATCTGCTGTGTCGGAACTCCTGCACCATGGTGCATAACATTTTAGACATAATAAATAGGGTTACAGTAAACAACAAAAAAACGAGTATGTTTGATGTGCATTAACATCATGTATCAAAAACGGCACTAATTTGTCAAAATAACAACAATCAAAATATCGAAAAGAGAATTTATTATCTAAGATGAATGGATGGATGGACTGTCCTTAGCTGGACAACTGAGGATTCAAGCGCCTGAAGGCAGTGGTAATCGAGATTGGAGCAGAACAACGCGCAGGACTGAATTCAGCAGAGTTCGGGTCGGACAGTATGTGTGTGTGGGTGGGAGGGGTTAGGACACGCGACAGAATCTGAGTTGCATTCACATAGGTTTGTTTATTGTTGTTGCTCTCTAAAATAATAATTTCAGTTCAACCTTTATTTATACAGGTTGTTAGTCTCATTGAGCCTCGAGGACTCATTTACAAGAGAGACCAGTTTTTAATCAATTTAATCAAATGTTTACAGATTGGGAAGGTGTAAAATATAGGGGTAGAACTAAAAGATGGGGCAATATTTGTAAGGTGATTTGGCCTCAAGTCTTACAGGAAGCTATACAAAACACACTCCACTGTGGACCAAAGAGGATTGACCTCTGTAAAGATTTCAAATCTCATGGAAAGCTGACTACTACATTAGTTTGTAGTGTATATGAAATAAGTAAATATATTTGCAGCTGTAGTAAAAGGTATGTGGCAACTGCCTATTTATTCTATTGCTAAAATTTTATTGTTGAGTAAAACTTGCAATCTGCATAATTAAAATATAAAATGTCACGTGAGATGGCCTAGATTAAGAGTTTTCTTCTAAGTGCTTAATTATTCATTCCAGTTCCTCCGTGAGGTGGATTTTAATTCAACCAAATGGTTACTCAAATGGAAAGAGTTAGAGGAAGAGGAAAGACACTAAACTGGGAATATATTTTGTGTCGTGCTGTGAAGATTTCATGATTTCAAATGTGGATAGAGGCAGATATTTAGCAGGCAAAGCCTTAAAACTGCAAACTCATATTTCCTTTATAAAGTTTAGCACAACATGGCCATGTGCTACTTTAATCCTACTTGCTGCAGATGATTATATGATTTTAAAAATCCTGGCAACGAGCCTTTCTTAATCATGGTTTAACCACAGGTTCCTTCCAGAAAGATTTCCAGTCCCATTTCTCCAAACAGTGTGCTTTAAAGTGATGCTACAGCTAAATTCAGCTTTTGCTCAATAAAGTTTCAAAGTAGGTGGCTTACTTAATGGCCTAAACAAAGTTCCTCAACTTTCTGCGTACTGGTGTTCACAGCATTTAAATACTGGTAGGTGTTGTGACACTTAAGCGCCAAGCAGACTGCACATTTCTGTTTAGATTCTGGTGAGAGGAGGTCAAGAAGAGCCACAGCGAGGGAAAATGACAAACGGGGCTTAACGCCAGCAGCCTTTATACACAAGCCTTTCTTCAGTGCATTGAGTAAAGCCTTAACATCTGAGCAAGGGTTTATATCTGCACCTTGCCTTGGTCAACATGTCTATTCAAATACTCATATTTCTATTAATATTGTGTTAAGCAGTGTAATAACAAATACATAAACTAAATATACACATCCTAGACATACACTAACAATGAACCACTGTTTCTCTGCAGAAACTAATTTAAGACTTTCTTTCTTTGCCTTGGCTTTGAAGTGCTCCTATGTAATGCAGTTCGTCCCACTAAAACCCATGAAAACAGGATTAGACTAGCCTCGCCTCCTAATTAATTGTTGAGATGTTTGGCTAATAAATCTTTGTTATCTGCTCCTCTAATCATCCAAGGAGATAGCATGGCTCTGACCCAGCCGCTAGAATTTTTACACGTCTGTGCTTTCTGTAATCTAGCTCTAAGAAACCTTGGATAAGGAGGAGCAATATCTTCATTTTCCTGCTCTCATCTCTTGATTCAATTAAAAGTAGATAGGTAGCAAATTGCAAAAAAAAAAAAAAAAAAAGAACATTAGATAAGTCTAATTGGGGAGGTGCATTCTGCAGCAAGTTTGTCTCTGTGTTTAATTGTGCTTTGCACAGGGTGCAAAAGGAAAAGATTGAACAGGAGAGAGAAACAAGTGCAACCAGAGAGAAAGCTTCAGTAGCTAAACTTAAGCTGTGCAGACACAAACAGTAGGGCACTATAGACAGAAACATAGTGGTAGATATTTGAGTAAAAAGAAAGAAGACACTCTCACACCCTGGGGCATACATGCCGACAGCAATGAGTCCAGGTGAGGACGACAGTAGACTGTGTTCGGCTGCTCCTGCCCTGCGTCAGACAGCTCACCTCTCGAGAGAATTAAAGCTGAGATGTGAGTCTAGGCTGCAGCCGGTGTCTGTGTGAGAGGGCATTTATAATGTTCCTACCAGATCTCAGGAACAGAGCTGCAATGTCATCTTATTCTCAATATCATAACTACAGCTGGGTGTGAAATGAGACTCTGTGTTAAGACAGGGGTGGCACTTTTTAGGAGAGAGAAAAAGATGGAGAAGGGAGCGAAAGTAAACGAGTGAAAGAGACATTGTGGAACAGTGTTGTGGAACATGCAAAGATAATGATGTACAGTAGTCCCTCACTACTTCGCTGTTCCTTTTTCGAGGACTCTATTGCGGTTTTTCAAAATAAGATTGGACAGGACACACAAATGGCTGATTGATGGATGAGTTGCACAATCGGCATGGAATTTTTATTTAAAATAAATTTTAAATTATGTAGCATCTCTGTGCAGCCCACACTGCAGGATAAGCTTCCTCCTGCAGATGATCAACTGTTCTCCATGCAGAGCCGAGAAGTGGGCGTGGCCAAGAACGCTTGCAGGTAGCTGAGAGCAGCGGAGGCTGAGAGGGAAATCATGACATTCTGTGCTCTTTTAGAGCATTTAGAGTTTAGAAACATTGTTTAGAATATTGCTACTACTTACTACTTGTACTACTATTCCTACTTTGCATTTTTTCACTTATCGCGGGGCTTCAGAGAACAGATCCCCCTCGATAAACAAGGGACTACTGTAAATGTGATACCCCATGTTGTGAGAACGTAAACCTTTAAAAATATACCAAGTGCGGTTTTCCTGGCCAATAACAAATACAGATTTTTTTTTTGTTTGGTTGGTTTGTCCTTGTGATTCCAATTTTAATTTCACTCCAAAATCAACAATTTACAACATACTAAATACAGTTTCTTTAGTTAAACTTTCAGCCATGTGGCACTTGTAGATGAACAGATGCTGGGATGTATTCATCATTTAACGCGGATTCCTCATTTTTCTGGACTGAATAAAACGTGCATTGAATTTAAGGAAATGCAAACGTGAGACGTCATTTAAATTTGACCCATCAAAATGAATGCGGTCATTTATTTACAGAATCAAATTTAACATCAAACATTTACATTAATTTGGCAAATTATGAAAATAACAACATAAGCAATCAATCAGGAAAAATCATACGGCCATGATTTTACCGTTGCTGCACCACAGACATTTATAAAACTGTACAACTATGATCTTTTACCCACACGGATGTGAATAAGCACTTTACACAGACATTTCTAAATATCTGGGAGAATTTCTACTTCATAGGAAAGTTTAAAGATGGAAAGAAGTTTAGAGGGAGTAAAGGATGGGGTTTGAGGGAAATTGAATGTTACCAGAACCGACACTCTCCATCAGAAGCCCAGCTCGCCTCGGTACGCTTGGTAGGAAACTTGACCCATTACCTCTCTGATGATAATCAGCAGATATGGTGTTCCGTTAACGCTACCGGTGCAGCGTCTCCTTAGAATGGCTGTAGCCCGTCAGAAGTAGTGGCGAGGCTCTGTTCGACACACATTCACCTCAGTGGAAAATGTTATAATCCCATGGAACTCGGAAGAGCTTCGTTGTCATGTCAGGAACTCCAACAGCACTCCATCAGAACTTTAGCTCTCGTGTAGTTTACAGAACTCCCACAGAACTCTTGAAGTCTGACAACTCTCCAACTCTGTAACTCCGTGAGTCTGTGTAGACCAGGAAGTACTGACATTTTAAAGGCTCTTTCCCGGTTCACTTTTTGGGATTTTTCATTGGTCAGAAACGACCAGAAGGGGTGTGTTTTTGTGACGTAAGGGGTTAGAGACAGCGAGAATTGTTATGAGACAGCTCAGAAATGTTCTCACAGACCGAGAGGGTTCTGTTTTGGCGTGCCTAAGACACAGGTGCAAAACATCTCTATTTACGTCTGAGAGGATTCTAAAACATGACAGTTTTAACATAACAACTTGTTTTTCGTTTGACTGTAACCTTGTAAACGCACACACTTGCTCATTCAAAAGCAGAAATCAGAAAAATGCATAATTACTCTGCAACAGCTTTTAACATGAGAATAAAAATCATTACTCAGTTAATAAAATTGATTAGTTCACTGCAACATCTAAAATGGTTTGAACTAAGACACTTTGATTATCAACATTTGTAAGATAGTAACGATAATAAAAAGAGAGTGTTCTTTTCACTTGAATCTTCAAGAAAGAAAGTCTCAGGATGGGTGAACCTGTATTTATGGAGTCAAATACATGAAATGACAGCTTCTGTCCCACAAGGTTCTAAAGGTCAAGAGTTTTGACCTTAGACTGGGTTTCGACGTAGGCTTAGTCCACTACAGCCCCCCCTTTGGAAATCATCACCTGTCCATGGAGATGAATTCCAACTATGGACTTACGTCGTCGATCGTCCTTGAAGCTTGATGTAATCCAGCAAAGAAACAAGAGTCAAGAGTAATCCAGCAAGGAAAACAAAAGTCAAAAGTAATCCAGCAAGGAAAACAAAAGTCAAGGTAATCCCACAATGTTCTTGGTAATTCCATTGTGTTGATTATAATTCCATATCGTCTCGATAATTCCATTGTAGCAATGCTTTAACCCCTTGGAAACAGAGTCTGTAATCCATTGGAAAAAGTCATATAATCCACAACGGTAAATCCACAACGATTGGAAGTGTTGATTAATCAGCATACAGAGGGGTACCCTTTGGATTGAACTGAAGAAGCGGCCACCGGATGAAGAGTGGAGACCAACGTCAGGATTGCAGGTCGCCTCCAGCGAAGGTTGTCTCCAGCGACGTCCAGCCTGTGCCGTTCTGGTTCAATGTGTCATGCAATTATGTGGTTTAAGGTGGGCTTATGAAGGGGATTTTACATAAGGCCTTAAACTATATGCACCTGGTGTGTAAGCTATTATGGTTGAGAACAGCTACGACTACCAGTTAAGGGGTGGAGCATGCTGAAAAGGGGTACTACAGGGGTTTAAGCCTATAGAAAAGGGTTCCAAACTATTTTTCCATTTCTAACTTGGCTTAAGTTAGCTTTACATGGCAAAATATAGTTTGGTTCAAATGTCTGTTGTCTTTTAGACGAACGACTTGAGATTGGGTGTTTGGTTTCCCCATAAATGTTTTGGAAGTCTATGGCGAGACTTATCAAAAAGAATTAGCTATCCCCCCGAATAGAATTGTTCGAGTAGGTTCGGCTTAAGCGATGTGAGACCAATGTAGATTATGGTACTTAAGGTAACAATAATATACATTGACTCCGCAAGGATTGCAATTTAGCGAATGAACTGCATGTTGGCATGGTTAAAGGCCTCTTAGTCTCTAACTTAACTTACACACAAGATACATTCTTACCTCAGAAACAACCAAAATCAACTAAACAACGTTTCAACACCGACAAGAGTAGTGACTAAGCATCTAGAAACATCGTTTCACTGCTCCTCCTCACCCTGGTTGTCAGTTTCAGTCGCGCTGTCCCGTGTGAGTGGCTTCTTTGCGGACCCGCTTACGCGAGGCATAATCATATCGAGGTGCGCTGCATGGCGATCCACGTCGACTCGGAGTGACGTTTGGCCCCGGGACAGGGATGCGAGTATCCCACACAATACGAGGGTTATCGTCATTAGCAGGGCTATGATTAATGTGTCCGCGCTCGACCACGCATAGTTAATTGGTTGGATCGGGTTCTTAGTTGTGGACCTGAGGGACTTGAGAACTTGGTTTATTGGTTCCACGTCGACGACTTGGGTGCCTTCAAAACGGATCCTTCCCAGAGTCTCTGGATCTATGTCTATAGACATATTTCTCAGGTACTCTGAGTCATCCAGAGTCGTGTCCCATCGTTCCGGATCGAGGTGATAGAGCGTCAAATCACCAATGTGTATGGTTGTTCCCTGGGGAACACTGATCCACATCGTTTTGTCCGGTAACGTCAGAGGTCTATTTGCCCCGGGTTGATCGTAGGCTATGATCGCCTGTCTTTGAGGAGCGTTCACTAGCCAACGAGAGCCAATTATTTCCGCTTTTGCATCTTTAGCCAGGCGTCGAGGCGTTACGGTCGTTGAGCACTTAGAATTTTCCGGAATAGGTGTTAATCCGCATATGCCCGCGGTTTTATTCCACATAAACGGTTTGCTCGGGCACAGATAGTGTATCTCCCGAGTGAGAACACACATCTGCAGGTTTGGAGCTAGGTAAACTGAGGGGTTGTCGTCGTGGTACGCAACCATCCTTGGTGTGTCAATTTGAACATGGTTTTCGCCGTGCCAATTGCCAACATTTACGACGTCCCTGAGTCTATATATGCCGTTTGAGGGAATTATCGGTAGGTTGATAATGAACGCCATTTCAAATGTTTTGTGATTGACGTAGATTGGGATTGCGCTACCGAGAGTGTAAGCCAGGTGTGCCTGTGTTTGCGTAACTTTTTCGTGCGTAGCGGAGCTGAGGATGTCGTTCACCATCTGTAGAGAGACTAGATACGGTGGGATCCTACCGGTGGCTAGTGTATCTACCGACGAACTGATATCTCTAAGCATGTCAGCAAAAATCCTATCCATTAGGTGTGCGACAGCGTAATCCGCTTCAACCTTAAGGGCTAACTCATTTACCGCTATTACGAGGGCTTTGATCTCTTGGGTGTGAGTCAAGAGGGTGAAGATTACCAGTAGTGGTATCATCATTGTCCTATGGAAACACAAAGAGATAGGTCTTAGCTTCGTAATGGTCAAGGGTAGGTCCTGTGAATTTAAACTATGGTTAAGTTTCTTATCCATTAGTTATCTTCTGCTTGGATGACCCTTGTTCCCACGAGGTCAGATTTTGTGAGATCTTTGTCTCCTGAGGAGTTGTTGCACGCCTTGTGTTGTTTAACCTGGTTACGGTGTACCCATTTAACAGTTGGCTCTTTTTGGCCTTTACTGATTTTTATCTGGTAGATAATTGGGGACACTTTGTCGGTTATCAGATGGGGTCCAGTCCATCTGGGCATCAGCTTACGGGCGAGAGTTCCGGTCCCGGACTCTCCTCTCCCAGTTTTGGGTGCAAACGTGTAGTACCAGACCCTGTCTCCCACTTGGAGTTCCTCGTGAGAGGCCTTTTGGTCGTAGTACGCTTTGCGTCCTTCAGCTGATTTTTCCAGGTTTTTCTGTGCGAAAGCAAAAGTGTTCTTAAGGTGTCTTTCCAAGTCTTTCATGTATTGTTGTGTGGTGTAGGCTGTTGCCATGGCAGCATCGCCTGGTTGGTACAACAGGTGCAGAGGGAGAGTCATTTGTCG